AAACTGAAAATAGGTAGGACAAATTTAGGGTATGACACCTATGCATAATGGTATAGAAGAGGAATTTAAAAAGGGAAAACCACATTTTCTTTGAATAATAAGAGAGTTTCCTACTCAGATCCCACACTCTTGAGAGTGAGTATTACTCTCTTGGAGCACTAAATTTCAGGTCCAAGAAATTCTTATAAATACTTCAACCCTAAAATTGAGAAGAAACATTCAATTTTATCAAAAAAACATCAATAAACGGAGCTTTTCACCTTTTCTACGCAAGCATTCTGCATTATAATAAAACCTCAAACAACCCTGCAAGGTTGCCAAATATCTCTTAGCAAGTATAACGTTTTATTAGGCTTGAAATAAAAGTAAAAACATTTTTAACACACTAACAATCATATTTATTTTTACGATTGTAACAATGACCAATAGTAGATATAATTTGATGAAAAGAAATATATCTTATATTAAATTGACCTCTTTATCTTTAGGTATATGTTTTTATATGTGAGGTCTATCTTGGACTATTTATAAAAACTAATAGAAGTTCCAACAGCTCTCGAGGATATTTTTTAGAAGTAATAGAGGTCACATATAAAAACATATACCTAAAGATTATAAGAGTTTCATTCCAAAAAAAGAAAAGTATAATAATTTGGTGACAATTGCAATGTCATAGAAATAAAATAAAAGAATGGCATAGAATACACACAAGCTGTGATCTGTTAATGTTGAGAATATCCATATTCTCATTTAGGTAGCGATGAACACAAAGAAAGATGATGAATCTATTATATGTACTCAACTCCACTTTTCTAATGGAAAAATTTTGGTGAGTTTCTACGTTGCGCTGCTTCTCCATTATTATGCAAATAAAAAGCCATGGCTCGTCACCTTGCCATTCCATTTCTCATTTTCGCTATTCTTATAAACCCTTCCCTGCTCGTATCTCCTGCACCCAATCACACACAAGGTCAAATCATTTTCCTTACTCTTTATCTTACACCATCTTTCTGAGTTTCATATAAATCACTGTCAAAAATAATATTTACATGATATAGCTGTAAAGGTCTCTGCAACAGATTTTCCAACATAAATAAACTTAACTAATAATAATAATACAAACTATGTGATGTGGTAAATAACTATTTTTAGCCTTTTAAGATCATATCATTTTTAGTTTAATTTATTATTAATTTTTTTTTCAATTTTTATATATTTGTTGATTTTTTTTCTAAGTATTAGTAACTACTAGAATTCACACAGGTTCAAACCTTATAATAATGTTCAACTTAACAATATTAGTTTATGTTAGTAGGTTAGGATTTGCGGACTTAACTTTATTTTATTAAATCTTAATACTTTATTGGTATATGGTTAAAAATAAATAACTGAAATAGAGATTAATTTTGAAAAACAAAATGATTGTGAAAGCTTGTATATAATAAATTTTAGACTATGAAATGGTATTTATGCACATAAATTTGACAGCAAAACAAATTATTATTAACACAAATTAAACATGTCTTAACGCGGTTCAAAGAATAACCAATGAATATAACAAGATTTTGTGTTTTATTGTCATCCACTAAATACAATTAACCATAATTTTAAATTATATAAAAAAAATCACAATTCTAAAAAATTATTAACCACGGTTTTTAAATGTATATTTGAACACAAATTGGGGTAAGCACTCTTTGCATATTTCACAAATATTTTAAAAAATTAGTAATTTAATTCATGTATATATTTTGTATATAACTGTTATTAAACCACCATTTGTACATGATGTGTTTAATATTGATTTTCGGTATTCTAAAACAAACTAATAGTCTTAATTAGAATTATATATATTGTACACCATATGGATATATATATTTGAAGAGAATATTGTGATCCGCGCACAGCTACCAACTGAGCAGTTATTCGAGAAATTTGATGTTAAAATTGTATGTCTGACTATTAAAACTCTTTCCATTTGGCTTAGGTACATGTGCATTGGATTTCAATGCATCCCAATATGAGTATATGCCATTTGGTGAATGTGGAAGTGTGAAAGAAGATATAACAATCTGGGGCAGCACTAGTGATGGCTTCCCAACCACTATCTGCTGCAGAAACTCTCTTACCCTACTCTCCGATGCCCTCGTCTCGCGAGTCCGCAACTCAACCGGACAAGTTTTCCTTTCTCAACAACAATGGCAGAGTTGCAACAAATCATTCCATCCACAACAAGGGATGTCTCTATCTTCATGTGGCTTTGATAACATTTACTATGGTAGCTCCAAATGCTCCAACTTATATTTGTTTGATGCTCAGAACTTGCAACAGTTCTCAGATGCATTGCAAAAATGTAGCCACTTTGATCATTCGTTCGAAGAATCGTGTTTGGATTGTACGAGCGCGATTTTGAGCTTACGAGATGGTTTGTATGAGAAAGTGGTTGGCAAGGACAACTACAATGATACCGAGAGAGCCATATGTGGCGTAGCAGCTCTTGTTTCTGTCGCATTTGAACAACAAGATGATCCTTTCCTTGCTGACAAATTCTTGCGATGCTTTCCGCCTCCAGCAGTATCTAACAAAAGTAAGATTATTATTATTATTATTAGACTTTTAAAACGTTGCGTACGAATTCGCATTTTTAAAATCTGACCTGACGATGAAAATGTTAATGTTAGACCTGAGTCCGTCTTAAGGTCTGATGAACAATGAAACTGACTGTTTTTTTTTGGCGAACCTAGAATCATCGATGAAGAAACTTATGTTGGGAATACTGGTGGTGTCTATCCTAGCGTTATTGATTATTGTTTTTCTGGTAAAATGTGTATCGAAGAAAAAGCCTATTAAGAAGCATGCTCAGTTGAAACAGATAGCTACTTGGTCTGGATTGTACTGGTTCACGAAAACTGAAATTGAAAACGCGATGAACTTTGAAAACGAAAAGATAAACCTTGGACGTGGGAGTGCGGGCGAGGTGTATAGAGGTGTATTGCCTAGTGGTCAAGTTGTGGCCATCAAGCATTTGATAAAGAGTAACACGTCGAGTTCTGATTCGTTCACCCGAGAACTTGCAGGTCTTTCTAGGCTTCGTCACCCGAACCTGGTTTGCTTGTTTGGTTGTTGTATGGAAGATGGGGAGAGATATTTAGTCTACGAGTTTTGCGCGAATGGAAATCTTGCTCAACATCTCTTGAGTAAGTTCTCTACTCTTCACTCTCGATCAATCGTTTAACATATTCCAACGTAACGTAAATGATGATTTGAATTTATTTATATGCGTGCGACTATTTTCAGGAAGAGATAGTCATTTGACATGGGAAGCAAGAGTGAGGATTCTGCGAGAATGTTCATTTGCACTTAAGTATCTCCATCATCATATCGAGGGTTGTGTTGTACATAGAGATATCAAGGTAAGTGTGATGATATTAATCTGAATTTTACATTAGGAATATTTAGATAATGTTTTCTTGACGTCTGATACCGATTTTAATGATTAGCTTACGAACATTCTTTTGACTGAGAAATACGAAGCCAAACTGTCGGATTTCGGACTGTCAAGGATGATGGGAATGGAAGAGAGCAAGGTTTTCACTGATGTTAGAGGAACTATAGGTTATATGGATCCCGAGTACATGAGTAATGCCAAGCTAACTTGTGCAAGTGACGTATACAGTTTCGGAATTGTTGCTTTGCAAATTCTGTCAGGACAGAAAGTCATAGAATTGGATCTCGATGCGAGAGACCAGCTCACCAGAAAGGTAGATCGATTCATTCATCGCAAGACAGAAAAAAAGAACATAATAACAATTAAATGTATGCATTACATTGCAATATTAATTTTTGTAGGCAAGAGATGTTAGTATGGGAAAGCGTCCACTGTCGGATTTTGTAGACTCGCGACTAAAGGGACAAGTTGATAAGACGGATTTCGGAACTATTCTACAGATTGCAGTACTTTGTGTTGCAAAATCAAGCACCGGCCGTCCATCAATTGAGCTCGTTTTTGATGAATTGGACAAAGTATATAGGGACATAGAAGCACGCAAGGTATATACAGTAATACGCGCAATTTGTTATAGCTTGTCGTAGTTTTGTGCTTACCAAGTTAACCAGTTTTCTGTTTATGCAGAAGATAACCCCAACACCATCAACAACAACATCAACATCAACATCTAGCTCTAATTGACGCCTCTATACGCGCGTATGATTAAAGTTGAAGTGGAAAATAGAAGACGAATATGTACATTACAGTACATATAATATTACTTTCAGCATACAACTAGCACGACTGTATTAAAAAAGTGTGACATGTTTCCCTTGTGTTCTGCTCGCTCGCTCGCAGATCTTTAGGTGCACCTAGAAAATGTGTTGGAGCCATAAAAAAAAAACCATACTACAGCCAAAGAAAGAAATGTTGTTGCAGTCATTCAGATCTTCGATTCAGAAGCGTGCTATAGACTTGAAACAATAGAAATTTGAATCGTATCGACGTTATCTGTCTTTATTTTATTATATTCTATGTAGCATAGTTCAGATTTCACAGTAATATCATGAAATAAAATTAGATTAAACTGAATAACTTGTTTTGATTGGCCTAATACATATGAATAATTGCGACAACAGTAATGAGTAATAACATTAGAATTTCCATAATCCTTGATATAATACAAACAAGGGTAACTGTTTTCAATAATTTCAACAATCACCTATGGAAATTCTCGGTTATCATCACACTTGTTCTTGAACTAAAGGTAAAATACATGAATGTAACTGAAGTCTACTAAACAAAACGAAGTGCATATATATATGTGGATGGTAGAGTGTCAAGTTTTTTGTATTTTGAGGTTATATATGTATACGGATATGTTATACTTGCCGCGCTCAACCAAACTGATCGATGTATAAACAACAACAACAAGAAGACTTTGACAGAAATATACAAAAACAACACGTCAAAGTGCAACGTGCATGTATGAAAATGCCTGTTCAATTGCAAGCTATCGTGGTGAGTTAACACTTTCGTCGTCTGATCCTCCGCTGCTGGAATGTTGCAAATGGTGAGAACTTCCCTCCTCAGATGCCCCCATGCTGACACGATCAAAATGATGAACATCTCCGCGTGATTCTTCCCCGCTATCGCTGCTTGTTAGCCCAAAAGAATATCCATTTCCATTATGTGATTGCCTACTCTCACCATGCTTGAGAAGAACACTTTCATCTTGTGACTCTTCTCCGCTGCTGCTATCTGACGAGTGACTTTTAGCTTTTGAAGATTTTTTACCGTTCTTTTGGCCGCGAGATTTCTTACTGCTCTTCTGGCTTAAATCTCCTGCAGCAGACTTTTTGCTGCTTTTCTGAGTTAAACTTCCATCCGCGCCTTTCTTTCTCCTACCACTTTTGCGACCATTTTCTGAACCGGAATTTGAGTTCTTTGATTTTGTGCTGCTCTTGCGGCTTGATTGAGAGTAAAACTCCTTTGTTTCATTCTCATAATATTCACATTCATTGTCTGATCCTTCTTCACATTCTTCATATTTCGCACTATCTGCTGTAATAGGCCGTTTATTCTTATTGCCTTCGCTCTCACTCTCGCTTTCACTGGCAGTCGCAGCACTCTTTTGGGAGGTGGAATCGGGAGGTGGAAGAGGTTCAGGAATACCTTCAGGAGGAGGAGAAGTCGAAAGAAAACTCAAAGCAGTTACAACATCACTCATCAAAGGACGCGCAGCGGCTTCCTCCTGTAAGCACATGGCTGCAATTGCAACAACCTGATTCAGATCCTTGTCCGGGTGATATTTCAGCTTCGGATCTGCCAAATCTCCATACTTTTTTGGATCTCTAAAAATTGGTTGTGCCTGCGAAAATTTATCAAAATATATATCATATCACAAAATCAAAGGACAAAACAATAATGTTCGAAAGAGATTGTTATAGTTATAGTTTACCCATGAAACTAGATTTTGCTCATCGTGCGGTTTTGTGGTGTCAACGGCTCGTCTTCCAGTTATGAGTTCTAGCAAGACAACTCCAAAACTATAAACATCTGATTTCAAGGTGAGATTACCCGTTCTTACATACTCGGGCGCACTATAACCATAAGTGCCCATTACTCTTGTAGGAACAATGTTCATCTTATCTTTACCAGCAAGTTTCGCTAGTCCATAATCAGATAGTTTCGCATTATGGTCATTATCAAGCAAAATGTTGGAAGATTTCAAGTCCCTATAAATAACCGAGGGATTTGCCTTGTCGTGCAAGTACCATAGTCCTTTCGCAGTATTAGATGCTATTTTCATTCTGCTATACCAATCTAATTGAGGTTCTTCGGGTTTTCTCTCTGCGCCACATTACCATAATAACATAAGATTATCGAACGTTGACATTATAGTCCATGAATATATCAACAGATTTAGAGATCAAAACGACGATTATGCAAATTATGTATTGCACAATACAAGTATATGCGTAAGTTAAAAATCGAAGAACGTAGAAAGATAGGGTGTGTACCAAGAAGACAACTTTCTAGAGAGCCTCCTGACATGAACTCATACACCAAAAGACGTTGATCACCATCGGCGCAGTAACCAATAAGCTTAACCAAATTGTCATGGTTTAAGAGACTCAACATCAAGACCTCAACCAAAAATTCTTTACTTCCTTGAATCCCATTTCTATCAAGCTGTTTCACTGCTACCACCTAGAGGGAGAAGAAAAACACAAACACTCAAAACACATGTAATAAAAGTGTAAAAAAAACATTGTTGTAATAATTGAATCAACATTATCATATTATAACCTGTCCTGTTGCAGGAATTGTTCCTTTGTAAACTCTGCCAAAACCACCTTCCCCCATCAAACACTCTTGTCTAAAATTCTTTGTCGCAATCGCCAACTCGCGGAATGTGAAATTTTGTGCTTGAATATTTGATGTGTCAACTTGGTTTGTTTCTTCTGGTTTTGGTTTCTTTATATCTACATATCACTCACATAAACAAATCAATATATGAAAAATATATATAGAAAATGATGTAGAATATAATCTCTAAAATATAATCAAGATTATACAAAAATAACACGCAGAATAACCTGGTGTTTTCGTTATAAGGGTGTTGTTTTCCTGCGGCGGCGCAGCCCCATGTTCTCTCTTGCTGTTGCTTTTCTTACTCCTTTGAGAATTAAAACAAGGAAAACAACTCATTCTTCTTCTTCTAAAGGATCAAAAAAAAAAAAAGTCCAAAAAGAATTTCTAATAAGAAATATAAAAAACACAAAAATTCTGTACTAGTTCGTTAAAAAAATGAATGAATGAGAAAAGGAGTGAACGGAGGTTCCCTCAATGAATGAAATTGAAGGAGCCACCCGCAACACAAGAGGGAAAAAGAAGCTATAAAAATGGAAGAGGGACGATGAACAGCATAAGGTTAAAGGAAGAGGAAGACATGCACGTAATGATGATGAGGAATGGAAAAAAATTGTTGAGGTTGTCTCGGAGAGAAAAGGGGGAGAATTTGAATGGACATTATTATTAGGTGTCTTTTTCCGACAATTGCTTTTTTAGTAATTGACAACGTTTTTTTTAAGTTAATTATTACTGTTATATTTTGACTTGTAACTGTTTTTTGCATTAGTATTTTGTTATCTTAAGTGGACTTTGAGGTAAGGTTGTTATTTTGTTTCAGTTTAGTTGTTGAAGATGAAGTGGAGAATATGGTTGTCAAGACAACGTTGTAGTTGGTTGGAAGCCTGTTCCTTGTTTTTTTTTTTTTTTACCGTTAGTCCAACTAAGGCTGAACTAAGACAATTTAGCTAGCCAATAGGGTGGACAATGAACCGAACCAATTCGAAAATAGTTCGGAATTCGATTCGACAATTAAATCGTTGAACTAGGTTCATGAACCAAATGAGTTGAGTATGAGCGAAAAATTAAGTTCGTTAAATAAATGAGCTGAACTTGAACTATACATAATTCGACTCATTAGGTTCATGAGTCAACTCGATTACATATGAAAAAAATTATACTGTCTTTAAGATTAGGTTTAAATATTTACTCCAAATCTTAGACAAATTTAATCTTCAATTTAATAGTTTTTGAATTAGACTCTCAAATGTATCTCTTGAAAGTTGTGTAGGTTTTGAATTAATAGATTTCGAAAATAAAGTTAAATTTCAATATGATAACTTTTATTTTATTTTAAAAAAATATATTTATTTAAAACGTAAAATATATATATATATATATATATATATATATATATATATATATATATATATATATATATATATATATATATATATATATATATATATATATATATATATTTAAAAAAATAGTTTTTAAATCCGTGAATCATGTGAGCTGAACCTAATGAGATGAACTGAGTTGAACCGAACTGTTCGTGAACTTATAACGAGTCGAGTTTGAGCTTAAAAAAAAGTTCGTGTGAACTTGAACTCGAACAATTCTTAATGAGTCGAGTCGAGTTGAGGTGAGTTCGACTCGACTCGACTCATTTCCAGCCCTACTAGCCATCAAAAATTAAAGTGACAAGACAACTACAATTAACACAATTTATTTATTTTTTTTGTTTTAATTGTTTGAGAATAATATAAATTAAATTATAAATTTCTTAGATTGGAAGGAAAAAAATAGAATATGCTTCATAAAGTTAATCTTTATTAGTTTTGTTAATCATCTTCTCGTGTGACACTTTTAAAGCAAACGATGACATACGGAGAAAAGAGGAAATAAATGGAGAAGAAGAAAAGAGGAAAGAGACAACTTGAAATAATATTTGTGGTTGGTGCAGGAGAGATGAAGATAAGAGGTGAGCACAATGTTTCATTGGAAAAGACAAAAAAAAATTAGAAGGTTGTTTTTGTCTGTTGAAGCTTCAGAGTTCTTTACTCAACACAGTTACTCCAATATAATAGGTAAAAGTTAAGTGCAAAGAAAGTAACTTATTTCCAGACTCGTTAGCCGCATAAGTTTTATAACTACGGACGGAAGATATTATCTTTGGAGCAGCCACAGGAGACTTGGTTCCAGGATGTCCTTGCCGCCTCTGGTTTGAAGGACCTTTGTGAGATCAGTTACAGCATGATCCACAACGGGGTGCTGATAGGCTTTGCAGAGAGATGGCACCCTGAGACGTCCTCCTTCCATCTACCGCACGACGAGTTCACAATCACACTGGACGACATCTTATGTTTGCTACATATACCGATCAGGAGTACCCTCATCCGTCACGATAGGATGACGAAGGAGGATGTGAGAGAGATGTCGGTCGAGGAGCTTGGGGCTGATCCACCAGATGCGTTGGAGGAGGTGGATAAGACCAAAGGGGCTCATGTCATGTTCTCCTTTCTCACCCGTAGATTTGGTGAGGCGCTCGTTGCTTTACGTCAGGCAGATGGTAATCCAACTGAGGTTGAGATACATAGACAACATGTGTTGAGATGTTATTTTCTATTTTTAGTCGGCACTTAGCTGTTTGTGGACACTTCCTCCACATATACGGATGTCACTTACCTGAGGTACTTTTTGAATTCCACACAGATCTATAAGTACAACTGAGGGGCAGCTACCCTGGCTTAAACATATTTGAGCCTGGGAGAGGGATGTTTGTGGAAGACCAGGACTATGGCAGGGAGCGTGGCATTACTTGTGGTAACAATCTTATATCCTTCGACTTTTTTATTTCTTTTCATTCTATATTCGAGATAATGCTTGATCCTGATGTTTTTTATTTTCATTTCAGACTCGGATATTCCAGCACTTTCCCATGATCGTTGGGTGGTGTCGCGGTGAAATTTGGATATCAGGCTATTGATTAACTTGAATCTAATTCATTTGCAACCGAACTTTGATTTGTCCAAAGGAAGGGATAAAGATCGAAATTCCCACAATACAAAGCAAATGCAAGTTAGAGAGTTATAAGTTCGAGGGTCGATTAAACTTAGGGAAGGTGCTAGCATCCTAAGTTTCTGTAGTACTCTATAAGAACCTCTTGTTTTATGTTTGTTTTATTGCTATGGTTTACCCGCTTAATGGTTGAAAGACCTAGGGGTTTATTTCTAAGTATACTCGATAAGATATCACATCTTATGCCTACATATCCTTACGGGAGTGGAATCAGAGTATATGTAGTTCCCCTAAAGGGTTTGAGGAGTTCTTTGACTGTGGTCAAAATTTCTACGGGTTTAGGGTAGTTGATTGGTTGATTTTAGGAGAAGAGATGAGTTGTCATGTTAAGGGAGATTTAACCGCCACAAATTGTAGGAAAATAGTCTTTGCATCGTCTTAAGAGAAGGGCTCAAGTACTCGGATATTGATCGACGAGTACGCCTCTATCTCTCTTAAGGCAAAGTCCCTACATATTGATTGTATTGATGTGGGGTGGAGATTCTATCTCGCTTAAGATGATTATCATCTATTTCTCTATTGTGTTTGAATGTTGTTGTATTGAGTTGTTTTGTTTATTCTAAGTTGTAAAAAGGTCCTCCCTATGGGGTAGGATCTAAACTTAGAAGATCGACTTGAATGGGATCAAGGATCAAGGGGATTATGATGCAAATGATGTGCACTACACACAAGCGTTGAATCATGTGTAGATTTTTCCTTTGGACGGAATGCGATGCAATAATATAAATGTGAAAATATAAAGTTGCGAATAAAGTAAAGGCAGATAAATAAGGCATACACGGACGCATGAAAGCGCTGAAGTGTGTGAGAGTGAATTGTGAATCGAGGTGGAGGCGCAAGCATGCTCGATTGATTGCATTACGATGTTGATTGTTTAATTAGGGAGTTGAGAAAGTGGTTGGATTGATTTTAAAAAAATTGATTTTAAGGAAAAAAGATCGGACTTATTATTTGAGAAAAGTCATATCTGATTTTTAGTAAAAGTTTTACTTTATCATCTCAGGTTTAAAATAAAAATTAAATTTAAAAGATATTTAATATAAATTTGAGGAAGAAGGTTATAGGATGGATTCTTAGTTATTAATGAAACGTAGATTATTTAGGAAAAAAGATATTTTAAATAAATAAAAGGTTTTTTCAACCAACGAAATAAATATCAATTATTTTAAATTAAAAAGGGTTTATTTTTCTACCTAAGAACAATTATATTTTATTATTTTAAAAAAGAAATGACAAAATAAATGGTGAGCTTGAATAAATTATTAAATGAATTATTAGTCTTCCTTAAAGCTAATTTAAAAAAAGATGGTTGATTAATTAGCAATAGGTTAATGATTAGATTAGTTAAAAAGATTAATTAAGATGGATATGTTAAATAGGTTGATTAATGGTAGATTAGGTGGATTTAAAAAGTGATTAGGGGGTTAACGGTGGATTGTGAAGAGATTAAGGGGAGGCACGCTGGATCACGTGCGGTTGCAGGGTGAGGGCTTATGGTGTGCTGCGTGGTGGAACGTACGATCTGATCTGAGAACAGATCGTGTGGGGTGTGTCGTGAGGTGCATGGTACTACCATGAGTGTGCGCGCGTACAATTATATTACAAATAAAACAAAAAAAACAAAGAAACCTAATCCCCAAATCTCCCCCCCCCCTCAATTTCCCCCTACCGATCTGCTTCTCATCTCCTTCGATCTTCTCTCCTTCTCTCGTTCTTTTCTCTGCTTCGATTTCTCCGATTCCTCAATCAAACCTAAAAAAAACACAAAGAAAAATTTGTCATTTGAAATCGAAACTAACGGTGTAAGGGACCTTTTTCGCAGGGGTTTCGTGAGCGATTTCCGGCGAAGGAGATCTCCGGCTTGGACAGATGATGAAGGGCAGTTCGCGATGGCGTTGTTTGAAGGTGACGGCGATGCGCGCGAGGGTTTGGAACGGATGAGTGCTTATGATTTTTCTCTTCTCAATTGTTTTTTTGGTTTTTTCGATTTGGGAATTTTTTTGAGTGTTTGATTTGTTGGGTGTTTCTGTGGATATTGCCAATTGTATTCCTCCCCTTCTCTCTGAATCTATTTGTAGTTGTTCTTATAGGCGTTCCAAATTTGTTGATTTGAAAACCGAAGTAAATGGTAATGAATTACTTCCTCTTTTCTTTCTGACAGGTCAGAAACTTGCCGATTTCGACTCACTATGTTTGGAAATAGGCTTGTTAACGTTTTGGAAGTAGAGTAAATCCATCTTAAACAGATTTTGAATTGCTTTGATTGTCCTTGATTT